GAGGCTAGCATACGGGGCTAGGTCTGAGAGGCCAGCGTCTTGGGGTTGCAGGTCTATGAAGTTACTGTCTGTGGCTTGCATGTCTGGGAGGTTAGTGTCCTGTTCGGTATGGATTGGTTCTGAGCGCAATGACACATGTGGACTGGAAGTGACGGCAGGACAGAATTGGGCAGCTTCGTAATGACGTGCGTTTGACGTAGAGATGGGAGCGCTCTGGCTGTCACTGGTGTTGTTTATGGCAGAAAAATCGACCGAATGATTACTATCAAACAATACTGACATGCTACCAGTAAACCAGGACAGCTCACTTGAACCATGGGGGATGTCTGGCGTGGCGCACATCTCAGAGCCCCGCGCAGTCACTGTAACAGTTGCTGGCAGAGTAGCCTCGGCGACCGCTAGAGTGGCGGCGGCGGTATCCGGCAGGGTGGCGGCGGCGGTAACTGGTAGAGTGGTGGCGGTATCCGACAGGGTGGCGGCGGCGGTATCCGGCAGGGTGGCGGCGGCAGTATCCGGCAGAGTGACGGCGGTATCCGGCAGGGTGGCGGCGGTATCCGGCAGGGTGGAGGCGGCGATAACTGGTAGAGTGGCGGCGTTGGCAACCGGTAGCGGGGTCACGCTGGTACCTGGCGGATTGCTGGCTCCGGTACGCGATAGTGGGGTTATAGAAGCCGGAAGGGTGGCCAGAGTAGACAGGCTGGCAGCAGTGCTCGATGGAGGGGCCCCGGTAGGCATGGAGGTGGGGACGAGCTGCGTTTTCTCATCAGGGATATCTGAAATGCGAAAACACCAGATGTTCAAGGCTGGATGCTGGTTGACCTCAACCAACCAGTGAACACGAGAGGTTGGGAACAGCTGGCCGGTCGGGGGTGAACGAATGTAAACAAACGCCAGGGGACAGTGGTGTGCGAACTTTTCAAGAACTGTCCGCAAACACCAGACCTCGGATGTGAGAAAATTTATGCCAGTTTTAACAGCTGCGCAACAATCCATTCATGTCATAACATGACCAAAACAAGGGGAGCAATTCGTGTAGTGTGACTTGAAGCATGCTCAAGAATCGCATAGTTTAATACGTACCAGCCTAACTAAGATGTCGTGGGTTCTAGTTCCCCCTTATTGGCTCTCAATAATAGACAAAATCTATTGTGTCTCATACATGATGCGATTTATGTAAACTTTGGCCTCTCCGCAAGTGGACACGCTAACGGTAAGCGGCAATGCTGTGCAAAAGTAACAATACTCTATACGGAATGCTTCTCGTGGTTAGTTCATTATGGAGAGAGCGCCAGAGAGAGACAGAGACAGAGACAGAGACAGAGACAGAGAGAGAGAGAGAGAGAGAGAGAGAGAGAGAGAGAGAGAGAGAGAGAGAGAGAGAGAGAGAGAGAGAGAGAGAGAGAGAGAGAGAGAGAGAGAGAGAGATATATATATATATATATATATATATATATATATATGAGAATGAAATGAACTAACTAGAAATATGTTTAACGAGCGTGTTTACATTAACAAAACGAATTGGGGCATTGCTATAAACGCGGATACATTGAACTGGATGCAGTTGACATTTCCTCAAGAAAATGTTAGAAACACCAAACGCTGCGTTCCGCATCACCTATTTTTCCAAGTAACCATATCACAGCCATGGGCAAGAGCTGCTTACCGAAAGCCAGGGCAAGTTAAAGACCGAAAACTTATGCATATAGCGAAAGCGCGACACCTGGGCGGGGGGGGGGGGGGCAACGAGAACGCGGACTGAGCCACGAACTTTGAAAATGTATCATTGGACGTACCGGCACTTCCGAAAAAGTGACCATGAATGGTTGTCGCCCCCCCCCCCCCCAACTTGGGAGGAATTCCGCTCCCCCTGGCAGACAGGCTTCGTTCGAATGCAAATGTATCTTAAGCATGTCAAGACTGATGGGTGAATATCAAACAGAATGTTTGTTAGGTGAATAGTATCGTTCATCACTTACCGAATGCCAGACGACGCTTCTTCTTTGCTGCAATCGTCCCGGTCCAGTATTTGCCGTTGTGTCTCAGTCGCACTCTGCCTCCAGCCTCCAGCGTTGACCCAGGCATTAGTCGCAGATCAGAAATAGCAACATAGTGCCATTCCCCGAAAGATGTGTCATCCCAATCTACTCTAACCACTCGTCGTTTTTTCCTCTTCTTTTCGTCCATGGTTGGTTCACTTAGGTCAAATTGGGTCAAATTGAAATATTTAAATTCTGGTTAAAACTCAATCAGACAACTCGTGGCCAAGTTGTTCCGTCTTACGCGGGCTAACCGAATCTGGCTATACGTCAGGTTTCGGAACGAGGAGTAGGCAGTTTATGTGATGGAGCAGAGGCGTAGCCAGGATTTTTACGGCGCGGGGGCGAGGCGATGTTCAGCGATAAATCACGGTGATTTTAACCCTGTGTGAGGAATCATCTTTGCTACTCACAGAAACATCCAGGCCTCGGGGATCCCAGCTTGGGCCCCTTGCTCCCCCCCCCCCCCGATCCCTGGCTGCGCCTCTGTAATTATTCACGTGCAACCGGCAGCACGCGCAATCGTCACGCAGCCGTAGTACTACTTCTGAGAATACGTGTTTTTTGCGACGGAAAATGCATTGGTATCGGGAGCGCTTTTGGCAGGCAAAAAGCCGTATGTCCCATTTTGTTCGGATGCGGCTTTTTACCTGACGGAAGACTCCTCTTGCGGACCAAAGCACAGTGAACAAAAAGCCGTATGTGCACTGTGCAGTAGATACGGCTTTTTGTCTGGCTGAAATCGTACTTGCGGCCTTTTGCCTGCCGTGCATCATTGTCAGTTAGCGCGATGCGGCTTTTTGACGGATCATATACACTTATAATTCGAAATACAAAACGCGCGTAAGTGTATGCTCGCCACCATCAGAGGCGTCTTCTCGAAAGCTTCAAAATGACACCAAAAACGAAAAATCGATGAAAATCGAGTTACGGCTTTTTGCCTTTTGACGGCAGTGGTGTTTTTGTGAATTTTTCAGTGAGTTTAAGCATTTCGCTTGCAATCACATACCGGGTTTTAGCGCTATTCTTAGGCCATCCGATTCCATGCGTCTTATTTCCGTAATGACTAGCAGTCATGTCGAACTTGTATTATGCAGTCCAAAACGTGATTTCTGGTTGAAACTTGCACAGCTTGCTCAGCATTGATCGCAAGCCATTTGACGTTACCATGCCTGGGAGTCGCGCCCACGGACGCCAGATCTAAGCGGCCCGACGGCTTGAACGCCATATGGCCAAGGACATGGCAGGATTTGATGACGTTGCTATGGCGGCATGCATGCCGGAATGGCCTTGTCTGCCCGAAACAGTCTACACGTCTTTGTGGGCATGCAGCTCAGAAACTAGAAGGTTTTAGGTCTTAAGATGAGAATGCGGGCCAGTGAAATGCACCGAGGTATCTTCAAAATAGCTATTTCAGTTCAAAGCCCCATACAAATGTGGGACACTATTACGAAAGCTGTTCATTGCATTTGCGAGGAGTATTATTCACATAAATAAGACAATAGTAACAGCCTTATTCCTCGGAGAAAACCAGGGGAATGGAGAATGAAGATATACATGTGTCCATATCTATGCGAACGTGATATGTGCCCTGATGTGTGATGTGTGCTAGCTTAAAATCGTTTACATGTGCAAGTAATACCTGACATGTGATGCATGATGCCCGTTCAATTGAAACGCTTGCTGTATCTGTATATGTAAACCGTGGTTCAATGTTAAAAAACGAAAAATCAAGCAGGATCATAAGCGGGCCATTTTGGATTCACTTCTGCTATTGTTTCGATAACGGCATGTTGCCGAAATATCGACGCATTTGTATCTCCATTCTCATTTTTCCTCCGAGGAATGAGGCTATTACGGCTGTTCAATTTATGTGGGACACTCTCTTGAATCTTGTGGGTGAAGGTCGGACATGCAAGACTTTCTTCCAGCGACGTAACACAGTAATGTCCGCAACATTTGCAGAGATCAGAGAGTGACACAACACGACCCGGGCACAAACGCTGTTACAAACAATGTCCTGCGCACCCGTCTGCGACCACAGTCGTGCAGTGCCACTTGGGAGTTAAGGGGCACCCGGCACCGACAGGTCACACGCCAGAGAGGACGGCAGCACGCCAGCCCATACGTCATGCCAGCGGCACGCCCACCGCTCCACTCACCCGTATTTGCAGCCGTCTCTTTATCACCGGCTCAGTCACCTAGCACGGTGGACTGCACTCACAGCGCCGACTGAACAGGCACGTCCGCTCGCAAGACCAGAGACACCCCGCGGGACGCTCGAGGGCGGTCGGCACCGCGCTGTCTCGGCGCGGTGTGTACGGGTCTGGCGCGGAGCGCGGCCGCCAGCGGAGCGGGCGCCAGCTCCAGCCCAGCCAATACGGAGCGTGCCGGCCCGGCCGCGCCTGACCTGCCGTTCAACCTTGAGCTCGGAGTCGCCGGATGGCCGCGCCACCGCCGGCCGGGTTGGGGCGCGGCCCACAACAGGCGGCACTATCACAAGGCGCGCCAACAGAAACACGGCGCCAAACGCCGCGTCCCCCGCCCACCCCCGGAATGCGGACGGTGGCGGAGCGCGGCTCGCTCCAGGTCGGAAGTCGTTTGGGAGCCAGCCGGTCGGGCCGGACGCCAAGCCTGCCGGCTGACCTTTGCCGCCGGCGCCGTATTGATCTGAGCCGTCGTCTGGCGGAAACCGGGACGTCGTTGCTGCTGTGCTCCTTATGCAAGTCGGGATGGGGATGCCGCGCGGCGAGCTGGGGGTGCGGGGGAGGCAAGGTCGCGGCGCCCCGGCCATAAAGTTTCCCGGGGACCACCGCAGCGGGGAGGGGCGGGGTGGCGACTATCGGCCGACGGGACTGCGTCTGCATGCGCGGCGGGCAGCTGCAAGAAGTCACAACCGCAGTTGACATTGCGGGCTGCTGGACAGCTCGCAGTCAGGTCGCTGTGTCAGTGGACGCTCACCTGAGCCGCTGGCGAGGCGTCCCGGCCGGCGTCGGTCGCGCCCGGACCCGCCCGGTACCGGCGCGTCGGCTCCACTCCCGGCCCGCACCGCGCGCGCCGACTGTCAGCCCGGCCACAGGGCAGCTTCTGTTCACTCCCGACGACTGGATCCCGGCGCTGCCACTGACTGCAGTGGGAAACACAGGTAGCTCTGATGATGCTCTGATGATAGCTGATGATGAGCAGGTGATGCCACAAGCACTGGCCTCCCATTGTCAAGGCAACATAACAGCAAAAGCATAGAGGATTGCCAGTCAACATACCAGCCTTGGTTCACATATTTATCTTGTGCTGGCAGATATGCTCAATATACATTGTGCACTACAGGACAATCATGTAATGTGCACAATGGTTCTGTGATTGTTGGAAAGGTGGCAGGGGAGACCACAGAGTGAGATACAAAATCTGGCCTGATAAAACATGAGATATGATGACCACTAATGACTGCACTTAACCCATGAAAGGGGGCAGTTGACTATTGACTGTATGGTCCAATTAGCTGCAAACCTGATCACAATACATGAAAACACCCATGGAATGGAACAATCACAATCCTGCTCATAGTCATGGACCAGACTACAATCACTGACATGACCATGCCCACAGGCAACATTGCATTCATGGGGGCCAGATAACACTCCTAGACTAGACTTCAGTAGTAGACAACAGTCACAGACCTAACCTCTGGCACCTGCCATGCTATACTACCAATTACAAAGTGTCACTGAGGCTGCTTAAGACCACTGATAAACATCTGAAGTGTGCCCAGATAAGAAATGAAACAGTTTGCCCAGATCACTTGGTACAGAGCACTGCTTTGGTGCTAGTCACACCTTTTGCCCTCCCCATTTTCAAGCCAGATGACATGTGGGCAACAGGGCATATACCTGCCTGATCACTGATGCCTGCAGATGCAGATGCATATGGCTGCACTGCAGAGAGTCATGTACACACCTTAAAGAATGGATGCCTCTGTGAGGGCAGTATATACCTGATTAGTTAGAAATATACTGTGAATTATGGTTGTCATGGGAAAATATTAAGTATGTTCAAGACAACCTTATCATTTTCTCACATCACTAATTGAGCAAGATGTTCATAAAGATTGTTTATATGGTATTCAAGGAAATCATCATGAACATCTGTTGTAAACCATGCCAAAATATGATGAAAGTGATGATCATGTTCATAATAATTCAAAGCTGGCCATCACAGAAGATTAAACAAAATTAACAAAGACCATTACATGCTATGGCGCAGTGGGAAAGATATTCCTGAGCATGTGTTTCTTGCCAAAATTATTCACCTTTGCAAAACTGTGCAATAGGTACCATGGAAAGACAGCATCATATGGCATGGGGCAGGTCCCTGCACGACATTCCACGTGGTATACACAACATAACCATGGCAGCAAACCAACTGTAAAATATTTGAGACTGACAAACTTACCTAGAGCCTTCTCATATTATGTGTTAGGAACAAGTTTGGGGATGGCACATAACACACGGGAGCACCCCCTGCGCCTCGCACCCAACCCCACCACGACCCACTCGCGCACCGTCCACTAGAACGACTCGGCCCGGCGAGCAGACGTCAGCGACTCGAAACTTCACCAGGTTTACTTTCTGTGGAGGCAGCGCACTTTTGACATCACTGGTGAAATGATCAATGGGGTTCGATGTGCTCCCCGCCTATTTTGAACAGCCTATGATGGACCTAAGTGCTGCAGAAAAGCAACCAGCTCGGCTAGTCAGTGAATGGTAGCAGAAAAGCATTTCTACGAACTCCAAAATTAATAGTCTGACAAAAATCTAGCGACCACTATAAGAGCCTTTTCGACAGCACAGCAGTCCGCGCCACACAACCCGAAATATGCTTTCTTGTCGTATCTCCGCTGACGAGATCCGAAGTACTCTTAGTGCTGAGCAATATAAATCAAAACAACACAACATTCTGGGAGAATGTTGCCGTTTTCGGTTTCAACTTTGGATCCATTGCTGTTCCCGAGGACTCCTCGCCGGGCGAGCACCTTCACCAGTGACGTAACGTAGGAAAGCGCACAAAATGCTATTTTGGGGAGCGTCAATGCCGAGGCTGGTTAATGCCCAGATCGAAAGCCGCGCCACATTCCCTTACTTCATACTTGGCTTGTACGAGTTATATGTTCGAGGCTTGGGTAATGTGGGACGGCGCGTTTGGTGGTGGGTTTAGTTCAGTTCTATTTTTCTCATTTCCGGGGTTTCTCGACCCCGGGGTGAATGCGTTATTTGCATAGGCGTTCGCTGTGCATCGCCCACTCTGTTCTTTCTGCACTCGTGACTTCTATTCCAAACATTTCAAACGAGGGTGATCTGTGTTGAGTGTGCGCGTGTATGACAAATAATAGTAGGAGTATTATGTCGTTCATAGCGTGCGTGTGTGTGTGTGTGTGTGTGTGTGTGTGTGTGTGTGTGTGTGTGTGTGTGTGTGTGTGTGTGTGTCTGCCATGCCTATGTGAATGCATAATCAGAGGTCTTGATCTGTGATAGGCTGTTGGCCATCCAAATTAATTGGTCTGTTCAGACAGGGAGGGAAATACCATAACATCAGGTAAAATCAAGCAGTGTTCTAAGATCATGTTATGTGGCACTTGAGGTTTAAAATATGAAGGATGTGTTTGTATGCTAGATTTAAGACTGACATTGTCACTCTGCCAGTGATACTTTGCTGTGGTGACACTGATGCTATGGCACATATGTATCTTAGCCTGATAAGGTTGAGTGTCAATTTAAATTATGGATACAGGCAGATTTCATGGTTGTGTGGAAGTCCTTAGTATGTGAAGAAAAGACACTTGGTGATATACAGGGGAGCTTGGAAGAAGACCAAAAATAATTTATTATTCTGATTTGCACTCTCATGGTAATTGCAATCAGGGGTGCACCAGAATTTGGTGCCTTACATATAGCAATCTGGACTGCTGCTTCATGGAGATAAACTTGATTACTAAATGCCATACTCATAAGGTGGCTTTGGAAGGAAAATAATTTGCAAGACTTACTTGATACATTGCATATTCTGATTATTATGTGGTAATATTTTTCCCAATATGTGCAACATAATAAGCAAGATAATAACATTTTAAGCTACCACAAATGGCAAGTAAATTGAATGATGATGTGTTCTGTTAAAACACAGGGCAACAGGAAGGAAATTTGACTAAAGTATTGAAGGAATTGGGTTGAAAAATGTCATCAACTAGTCTGATCAGGCTAGCCAAGGTGCAGGGTTGTAATTTTTGTAGAGAATTCACCTTGCCATACTATCTTGAGACTCAACAGACTGGGGGTATTGGTCCCCTGGTCCAATAGCATCTGTATCATTTGATTCAGTAATAGTGGTTTTCTTTTGGATGTATATATATATATATATATATATATATATATATGCAGCATCTTCATTTGCACCTGCCAATAAGATCAATGTTGAGGCCTTACTTGAATTTTAATAAGAAGCATAATTTAGATGCTTAGCATAAGGCTGAATCAAACTAGTGGGAAGTGATAAGCACACACTTTGGTGGATATATCTGGTAAACTACTCAGATATGTCTTAGTATCACATACCCATGGGCACTAAATTCCAATAGAGGACATTTATGCCAGTGAATAAATTGCAGGTTAACAACTAATCAAGTGCTGATGTGTTCCAGATATTAAACAAAATTAAAGTGTGGCCCCAGCTGCCAACTGATTGACCCATGTGTGTGTGTCCTGACTTTGCTAGCTAACAGCTGTGGTGACTTTTCTTCTAGGAACTGCAGAAGCTTCTTGAGGAGCCGGATGTCTGTTTGTTATGTCTGTTTGTGATGTCTGTTATGTCTTAGTATCACATACCCATGGGCACTAAATTCCAATAGAGGACATTTATGCCAGTGAATAAATTGCAGGTTAACAACTAATCAAGCGCTGATGTGTTCCAGATACCAAACAAAATTAAAGTGTGGCCCCAGCTGCCAACTGATTGACCCATGTGTGTGTGTCCTGACTTTGCTAGCTAACAGCTGTGGTGACTTTTCTTCTAGGAACTGCAGAAGCTTCTTGAGGAGCCGGATGTCTGTTTATGCAGTCAATTGCAAGACCACTTCACTGGGTCCAGATGAGAGGTGCAGGATGGAGAAGGAAATCAAGAAGCTGAAGGTGAATTGGGTCCTTGACTCCAGACATCAGACAAGTGCTGCAGATTGGCATCATATCGCTCAGCATTGTCCTTTATTTTCCCCAGTGGAAATTACTTCTTGGTATGCTGGTCTACTAAGGTGCTTAATGTCCTGCTTTTATGGTGTTCCATCAAGTACAGGCTTAAAGTAAAGAATATATCAAGTTCTGTATAGATGTAGACTTCATGTACAATATGCCCTATTTTCTATTACAGGAGATGCTCTCCATTCACTTGGACCTGATTCAGCATCAGGCTGACCAAGCTGCCTCTCGGGAGACCCAGGTCAAGGCTCTCAGGCGGGAAAATGACAGGGTAAGTTTGGGATGTGATTTAAAAGTGCTCTGGTAGCATTTGCATGCATTTATAGCACAAGCAGTGTGGGGAAATAGAAGAATCATCTTTTTCAGATATATTTCACAGATACACCTGATGTTTCTGACACAAAACTGCTGTACTGGCACTGTACAAGCTCAAGAGGTGTAAGACCTGACGATCTGAACATATCATATGCAGCTGTCTCAGACCTGACCTGACCTGAACTTACCTGACCCTGCTCGGCAGCTGCTGCAGAAGGTGGAGCGGATGGAGCGGCGTCTGTCGGTGCCAGCCCGCTCGCCGGCCGGCGCGGCCTCTGCGCCGCCGGCCGCCGCCGCGCTGGTCGACTCGGCCACCTCGCCGCCTCGTCCGGCCGGCCGCAGCAGCCGCGAGACGCAGACGAGCGGCGACGAGGGCGGCGGCTCGCCTCCGCGCCGTGCCGGCCGCGGCCGCGGCCGGCCCTCGCCCGGACCCGAGCCGCCGGCGCCGGGCCCCACCGATGCCGTCGGCGCCACGCGGCTCGGCGAGCCCGCCGACGCGGAGGAGCGGCGGGCGGAGGCCGTGCGCCCGGCCAGGCGGGAGAGCGCCGGGTGGCCCGAGTCCGGCTGGCCGGAGGCGCCGGCTGATGGCGGCCGGCCGGAGACGCGGCCGGATGCCGAGCGACCGGAACGGCAGAGGAACGCCAGCCGGCCGGAGCGGCAGAGGAACGCCTCGCGCTCCGAGCGGCAGGCGGGGGCCGGTCGGCCCGAGGCGCAGGCCGACGCCGGCGGCCCAGAGTCCAGCTCCGAGTTCACCCCGTCGGCGGAGAGTCGCCGCCTGCAGGCCAAGCTCTGCAGCAAAGGTGGGTCGGAAGTGCCTACCAGCAAAGGACTGCCGAGCACGAGTGACAAACACGAGTGACATTAGTCATGATGGTTTTACCATCCAGTTGATTGTGTTGATATGCTTTGCAAGAGGTGGCAATACCTTTTGATCTCACTATAGCAAATTGAATGTATTCTTTGAATGCCTCATCGATTTTGTTCAGTTTATTCAGCGCAGTGCTGTGCTTTTCCATGGTATGGTTACGCTACACGATTCGTGAGATACGATGCAGTTGACATCCGTGCAGCGTACGCCATTGAGATCCGCTTCCGTCTGGTGGCCATCGATAAGATAATGTTTGTTGACGAGATAATATTCAAAAGGGGCTTAGATGCCGTGTGGTGCGGCCCGACCGCGCGTCGAGACTCTCCCGGTGCCGGGTTGGCGGCGGCGAGCTGTAGTCTTGGGGGCGGATGCAGCCCTGAGCCGCGTGTACCCGGTCCAGCGCCGCCGGCCCCTGTCGCCCGCGCGGCCGCGGCGCGCGGCCGTCTCTGCCCCGCTGACGGAACGTCCGGCCGACAGGCGACGAGGCTGTGCGCCACCGCAAGTGCATGCTGACCGAGACCGAGTACTACCAGTACCTGCCGGCCGAGCCGCCCGACTCGGACGTCGAGGACGGCTCGGCCGCCGGCCGCCAGACCCACATCGAGGTCAGATTACGCCCGGTCCGGGTGGTGTTGGTGTGTGGGGGAGGGGCAGCAGGTGGCGAGGACGCGGTATGCCGCACCGCAAGGGTCAGAGGACCCACGCGGCAGAGGTGGCGTGCGGGCGGGACGTCCTGCCGGCTCACAGTACGACACGGCAGGGCTTCTCTGATTTAGCCTCTCCAGATTGTGGAGCTAGCGAATTTCACGGTGTCTGCGGTAATAAGGCACGGCTCCCCTCAGTGTGGATTGGTGTCGCGCCGCCCATATCAGTCGCTGTGCTTACCATGAGGGGTTAAAAAGGGAGGCAAGTCGGGTCAACGGCACTGCGAATGCGCTTTGTCCTTAAGCGCCATTCAGCAGCTATTCGTCACTCCGTTGGTGTGGCGCACGGCACGTGCGTAACGTCCGCCACCGGTTCTGACATGCCCCGAGGGCGACCTCCCGGCCGGCGCCGGTGGGATCATGGAGTCTGCGTCAAATGTAGCTGCCGACGGAGGGGCGAGTGCGGCCGCCCGGGCTCGGACCGGTGCGGGTGGATAGCGGAGCATGGTGCCGGGGCCCGCCGTCTGACTCCGCCGGCTAACCTCGGGCCCGCTGGCTGACTCCGCCGGCTAACCTCGGGCCCGCTGGCTGACTCCGCCGGTGACCGGTCTGCCGCCGCCCGTCGGCAGATCCCCAGCTGGACCATCAGCCAGCTGAGTCCGCTGCACAGCGCCGACGGCACCGAAAACCTGGACGACCTCGTGTTCGCCAAGCGTCACCTCAAACACGAGATTGACGAGAAACGCCGCAAGCGGTAAGCACCGGTCTCTGCCCACCCCCGGCGACTGTAAGCACCGGTCTCTGCCCGACATCGGCGGCTGTAAGCACCGGTCTCTGCCAGCCCTCGGCGACTGTAAGCACCGGTCTCTGCCCGCCCTCGGCGACTGTAAGCACCGGTCTCTGCCCGACCTCGGCGACTGTAAGCACCGGTCTCTGCCTGCCCTCGGCGACTGTAAGCACCGGTCTCTTCCCGCTCTCGGCGACTGTAAGTACCGGTCTCTGCCCGCCCTCGGCGACTGGAAGCACCGGTCTCTGCCCGACCTTGGCGACTGTAAGCACCGGTCTCTGCCTGCCTTCGGCGACTGTCACGTCTTCATTGTGCCGCAGCAGTGCGGCGCAACGGTGTGCTGCATGTGCTGAGTGACTGTGTAACAACTTACCCTGCATGAGCTTAGCCACGGGTACACTGTTAAAACTGTGTGGCTGAGTTTTCCCCGATGCTGCGACTGCAGCGCACATATGCACCATGACTCTGCCTTCCATGGTGAACTCGCGCTCTTCACCACTCGCCCACAGGGGGAGGATGGGGGAAGGGGGGGGGGGGGGGGCGAAGCAAAGTAAGTTGGTAGGGTGTTGAGGGATTGGGCGGCGTAGCGTTACGCTCAGGTGTGGTTGAAAGTCATGTACATTTTTTGAAAGTATTTTTAAACCTCAGATCCGGATGCCGTTTGGCCCCCCTCATTACAGGCAGCGCGTCCGTGACGTCCGTTATTGATTTCCTACATCTAGCTCAAGACGCTAAGCTTAGCATGACCGGGGAGGGGGATAGCATATCCGGGGCGGACCGGTGGTGAGCAATTGCAAAAATGCGCAACCAAATTTATGGGCAACCTCACCCGGCGCGCTCCACGGGGATAGAGCCCAATCCCCGAGTTTGCCCCCCCCCCCCCAGTAGTCAACCGTCGTCTGCTCTGACTAACCCTGCCAAGTGCTCGGGAGCCTGCCCAGGCCATGGTCTTGACCTTGACGTTACACTTGCCTGAGGATACGCAAGAGTCCAACCTCGATAGCCTTGCAGTGCGCTGCCTGCTTTACGCGTTGAATGCGTACATTTTTTTAAAATTTGACCAACAGTTGAGTTTTATTTTAAGCTAACATTTGATATTTTTGCATCCATGACGGCAGAAAATTATCACATTTGTTTTCTATGCATATACGCCCCACGAGAGGTGTCTGATTCCGCTTTGTCTGACTAAACGACGCCCGGCGGACGGCATCGGCGGAGCTCGGCCCCTCTCCTGACGTCCCCCCCTCGCCGCGTCTGATCCCAAGGGGCCCCGGCGGACAGCGTCGCCGGAGCTGGACCCCTCCTCTGACGCGCCCCATCGCCTACCGCCAGGTGGGACCTGCAGCGGCTGCGCGAGCAGCGGCAGTACGAGAAGCTGAAGCAGTCGTACTACCGCGGCCGCGGCGGCCGGGCGGGCGGCGCCGGCGGCGGGGAGAGGGAGGCCGGCCGCCGGCTGACGCTGCGACCGCCCGCCGCCGGCGCCCTCTACCTGCAGGTGTCACCCCAGCTGCCGGTCTGTGCATTTGGCTGCAATCTGCCCGTGCTGGCCGACAGGTGAGGGATCCCGGCACCCCGGCCGCGAAACGTCAATGGCCGATGGGGTCGTGCTAATGTGCACGCGGTAAAACGCTGTCGGTGATTCGTGCTGCCGCCAGAAGTTTTCAAATCGTCCCGCTCTATTTTGCCTTTTGCTGTTTTCATGATCTGTGAACCGTTTTCATCACTTCATTCGCTGCTTTTCTTTGACCTCGGCATCCTTACGCTCTAGGACGGAACGTCATTTTCAAGATATCTTCTCTGATGTGGCGAGCATGTTCCTCTGTTTATAATAAACTGCCGTGTTGACGTCGTTCCACACTGGATCCAGACGTCCTGGAGCCACCAACCATGGCACTATCCTCTGTCCGGCAGGGAGTTCCGGCTACCTTGGACTCCGGGCAAGGCGCCGCCGGCTCCAGGCGCCCGCGCTGACTCGCGGGGACGCCGCTAGGCGGCTCCACTGCGCACCTACGTACCCTGTGATCTTTTAGCTGTGCTGGGAAGGGGTGGGTTGGGGTGGGGGCAGTGTTTTGTTGGTTGTCGTCACCTAGCCGGTGTTGGCTGTAGCCTATCTTGGTCGTACTGTTGTCAGTTAAGCGGATGTCAGGGGAGGGGGGGTGTCTGGGACCGTGGTGAAGTCGTTGCTGTTCCAGATGCGTGGTGTGTTGTGTCGCGTAGCTCGTGCTCCAGCCGCGCCGTCACGCTCAGGGCTCCAGCTTCTGTCCGGTGGCTCGTGGCCGGCGCAGCCCGGCGTCCATGGACGGCGGCTATCTGTCGTTAAACGTGGTCTGTCTCTCAGGGCCGTCATCCTTCGCGCGGTGGAATAACGAGCATAGTACGGCGCCGCGTCACCCGCGTTGGCCAGTTTTGGGCCTGGCGTGCCATTCTGGCTACCACCCTCGACGTGGCGACTTATCACGATTGGGGTGTTTATTCTTCATGTGTATTGTCATCATGGTTGCCGTTTTCCAAAGTAGATTCGGGTCGAATTAGTGTTTGGGGCTGTTCCTGTCACTCGCTGTCGATTGGCGTGCTAAAAACATTCATTTCATTATTCGGGGGGGGGGGGGGGGTCTGGGCTATGTGCAGGCTGCAGACCAACACGAGTGTTGATCGATGCTAAGTAGAAGTGTGCAAATGTTCAACGGCGGGCGCTGGTCTCCATGCGAGTAGGCAGCCAGGGGCGCCAACGACGGCCGGCCGCGGCGTCTCGTGACCGCGTCTGCCGTCGCGCGCCGGCGCGAGCGGGGAGGAACAGCGTCGGCGGGACCGACAGGCTCTCGGACGGGTACCCCATCTCCCGGGCCGGGCGCCTCCACCGTCTCCGGTCGGCGAGCGACCTTCACGGCCGTGCGGACCGCGACGGGCTGAGCCCCGTCCAGCTGTCAGTGCCCGAGGGCATGGCCCGTCT